TGGCCTCTGTGTTCCCGGGGTGAATGCAGAGGGAAGCTGCAGCCAAGTTACCCTGTTAAGAAAATAGATCTTCAGGGGCGCCTGTGTGGCTCAGTCCATTGAGCGTCCGACTTCGGCTCAGGTCATGATCTCATAGTTCGTGGTTTTGAGTCCCCCATTGGGCTCTGTGCTGACAGCTAGCTCAGAGCCTGGAGCCTGTTTCAGATTCTGTGTCTCCCTGTGTCTCTGACCCTCCCTTGCTCATGCCATCTCTCTCTCTCTTTCTCTTTCTCTCTCTCTCTCTCTCTCTCTCTCTCAGAAATAAAGAAAACATTTAAAAATAAATAGGTCTCCACAGTTGTGATCTTGTGGAATCTGAGGCTTTGCAGGTACCCTCAAAAGCAGTGACTCTTCTCTCTGGTAAACCACTTACTCCCCCCAAAATAAGTGGAATAACTTATTGGTATAAATAAGAGATATTTTGAAAAAATTTTTTTAATAACTTTTTTTTTTAAACATTGTATTTTTGAGACAGAGCACGAGCTGGGGACGGGCAGAGAGAGAGGGAGACACATAATCTGAAACAGTCTCCAGGCTCTGAGCTGGCTGTCAGCACAGAGGCCAACATGGGGCTCGAACCCATGAACTGTGAGATCATGACCTGAACCGAAGTCGGACGCTTAACCGACTGAGCCACCCAGGCGCCCCTGAAATTTAGATCAATAGGGAATTTTAGCTCACTTAGTTTTTAACCATCCCAGACAAATTAGAAATTGGGCAGTGTTTCTAAACAGTTCTGACCACTTGGTTTGGTAATTCTCTGCTAGTCTTGGAGGACATGGATGTGCCTGGGCCGTGGCTCTGGGCGTCACTCCCTTTCTCTTTCCTTTACAGGAACGAGCCCAGGGCGTGGTGCTGAAAGTGCTTACAAATTTTAAGAGCAGTGAAATTGAGCAGGCCGTGCAGTCACTGGACAGAAATGGCATTGACTTGCTAATGAAGTACATTTATAAAGGGTTCGAGAAGCCCACAGAAAACAGCAGCGCAGTGTTACTCCAGTGGCATGAAAAGGTAGGTGAATACACTGCCCATGCGGGCAGCTCATGAACCAGCCCCCCCCCCCCCCCCCCCCCCCCCCCCCCCCCCGTCCTAGGGTTCAAATCTGCGGGCTAGGGTTCCCACAATCAACATGGGACAGTCTGATTGTCATAAGAATAAGGGGCCACACCTAAAACAACCTAGGACATCTGATCACTTACTTTTCCCATGGAAGCACCTGGTAGGGGTTCACTGTCACTGGTAATTGCAATTGCTTTAGCTGCTGATTTATGCCAGGCATGTCATGGGGATGGGTGACTTGGCATGGGAAGATAGACAGGGAGTCCCAGGTGGGAGGGAGGCAGGCTTGAAACTGGGATTTCATGACTTGACTTGCATGGGTGGAGGCAGCTGCTTTGCACTGGTGGAGGTGGTGGTTGGAGGGTCTTCTGGATGCAGGCTGAGCCCCCAGCTAACTCTAAGCGCTTCCTGCTCTGCTACAGCCTCACTAGGCCAGAGAAGGCAGTGGCAGGATCCTGGATGTTCACTTAATAAGGCCTTCATCTACCTGAAGCATAAAAAGCTGTGCCTGTCCTTTGTTTCAGTCGTTGTAAGAGCAAGGCATTTCATCTAGCCTGTGTCCTGTGTGCCAGTGCGCCCCTGCCCTGTAGAGCTACAGGAAGCCTGCACATCAGTATAGGAAACCAGGTTGTTAACTAACACAGTATCTGGAACTCAGTCATAGTTTTGAGGGGTCAGCCACTCTGGCAGCCTTGGTGCTGTGGTGGCCTTTGGTCCTGCTGTGCCTCCTCTGTCGGGAGGGGACCTCCCGGACTTGGTAGGGGTGCCTCTGGTACTCAGGAATTGAGCAAGCCCTCTGTGTGGTGGGGAGGCCAGGCCCTTTGGTCCCTTTAAGGCAACTTGGTGCTGAGCCCTGCTGGCATTTCTGAGGAGGGCTCAGGGAGGCAGCTATAACGGCCTTGCGTCTATTTAAGTGTCCAGGGCAGTACCGGCAGGCTGGAAACCGCTTGTCAGAAAGGGAAACTTAGGGGGCTGTGCTGTGCATGTGCTTGGTAACAGGGTTCTCGGGCCCAGTTCTGCTGGCCCGCGAGCTAGCAGCTCTTCGGGACCTCTGGCTCCAGGACAGGGCTCCATGCCTAGAATGTGGGCTCTCTCGTCAGCTCCTTAACTGGAGGCAGGAACCCTTTTTCAAGAGGGTCTGACACGGTGGGACCTAGGTCTGGGAATGCTGATCTGATCTCCCCTGGCCAGCCAGGGTGCCCCCTGGCCAGCCATGTCTCATTTGACGCCTTTCCTTTTCCTGCCCCCACAGGCATTAGCAGTAGGAGGACTAGGCTCCATTATAAGAGTTCTTACAGCAAGAAAGACTGTTTAAAAAAAAAAAAGGACTCATGTTACCTTGAGAATTTTGGATGCACAGGCTGATGAAGAAAGGACTGACAATGGACCATCTTCCTAGGAACTCCCAGCTAAACTATTTCAGGACATGCATCCGCTGAAGTGTATTTTATTTTCAAGGTGGAGGGAGAAATCGTCTGTTTCCTAAATCCTTTGCAGGATCTGATAGTCTCTGCCTTTGTCCACAAGTAACACAGAACTGACATTGCAGCTGTGTCCTGGAGTGGCTGGCCAGCGGTGGCCAGGTGGACCTGTGCGCGCTGCCTATTTAAAATGGGGGAGGGACAGCGCGGGCAGGTACAGATCCAAGGGCTGTGGTAAAAGGGAGAGCTTGTTTTTTTGAAGTAGTAAAACTTCAAGGATTTGTACAGACATCCCGCCTTCCCAGAGAAGACGGGCTCTCTTGGGTTCATTGTAAAGTGCCTGCTGCATCAATAAAGCTCTTGGCTTATTAGTATGTACTTTGCGGTGTGTTTCATGTATGTAAAATGAGTAATGAACGGACGGTAATGAATGGGGTGTGATGTGGAGGGGTGGGCGGGTCCCTGTGGCACTGTCCCCAGGGAGTGAGCGCGGCAGTCTGGCTCTCTCGCCCACAGCAGGACCTCGGGCCTGGGCTCAGCACTGCTGGCTGCTATGGAGAGAGATTTTGCCGAATAACTGTTTATTGGTTTTACTCCTTTTGATTTGTATGTAATTTTGGAGCTTATTTAATTTAATAAAGTGCAAAACATTCAATACTTGATCTAGGCTTCCAAAGTCTTTAGTTTGTGTGACTGCAACTTGGAGTCTTGGGAGTGTGTCCCAGAAAGGCCTGCTCACCATCTCCTGACTCTGACTTGGGCTGTGTGGCAGGAACACTCTTAAACAAGTTTTTTTACTTTTATCCTTTTTGTTTTGTTCTGTTTTGAGAGAGGGAGAGAAAGGGAGGGGCACAGAAAGAAGGAGTTCAAGGATCCGAAGTGGGCTCTGTGCTGACAGCAGAGAACCTGCTGTGGGGCTTGAACTCCCGAACCGTGAGTTCATGACCTGAGCCGAAGTCAGATGCTTAACTGACTGAGCCACCCAGGTGCCCCATTAAACAATTTTTTTTAAAGGATTAAGAGCCAGAAACAGGTAGCAATCAGCCTATACGTATGGAACATTTTGTTCCTTGTAACCGCTAGCAGCCAGCTTCTTTGAAGAGCACAGATGTTTTTCTGGCCTTTTTAGCACGTGTAGCTGTGGTCTGCATTCAATGAAAGGGTCCCCTTGAGATTTCTGAAGCTCTTCCTGGTCCAGTGGGCCTTGGCGATAGACACTGGCCAAAGTGACAGTCCTTTCAATTCCTCTGCAGAAGCTCCACTGCTTCTGGGAGGTAGGAGTAGGCTGCTGGCTTCATTAAATTACTTAGATTTACCTAAACCTAATCTGGGGAGAATCTGAAAGACAAAGGTTCTATAGCTCCTCCCCTCCCTTTGTTTTTTACTCACTAGGTTACTGGTTTGTCATAAAAGGATATACTCAAACAGCCAGATGGGAGGGATGCATAGGGGAATGTATGGGGATTCCCACAGATTCCGAGCATGCCACTCTCCCCACATCTCTGCTCGTGAACCCAGAAGCCACTCTCCCCACCTCTCTGCTCCCCAACACGGAAGCCATTCTCCCCGCATCTCTGTGCTCACCGTCCTGGAAGCTCTGTTCTGCAGTCCTTGAAGTTTGCCTTGAAGTATTAAACATGAGACTCAATGTACTAAATTTCATTAGACTATCCAGTAAAATCCACTGTAGTTGCATCTGGATTAAAGAGCTTTAATCAAAAAGGGACACCACAAATGGATTTTTCTACAGCAGTCTTAGATAATACAGTTCCTATTTACAACATGGAGAGAGATCCAAATCTCATATAAAGGGCTATACATACTGTCTATCACAGAACCTTTATACAAGTAAAAGTGCATTAAATCACTTAGAATGTTTACTCCACTCTTCCTCTTAAAGCTGCAGGAAACTCATCATGGAGGAAAGCCTAATCAGAATGAATCCTCCCTAAGCAAGTACAGGCCGAGTGACGGGTCCCATAACTACACCTAAAGCTGCCGGGGACACGGGTGGGGTAGGGGGAGACCTGCTCAAGGGCTGGAGAGGCCACAGCAGAGTGGGATGGGGCTCCTGGCGCTGGGTCGTGGTCCTCCGGTGAGCCCTGAACCACCCGATCTTGGGGAGTGTCCTGGGACAGCTAGAAAAGGCGCCTCTTCCCCAACTTACGGAACGGAAAGCATTCCTATTTTGTGTCCCCACCAGGTAAGTGGAAAATAATATGCCAAACAAGGGAAGCCATCTGCAGGGAGGAGCCACAGAGGAGGTAGGTAACTGGAGAACGCGCCACTCGGTGGCAGACAGCCTAGCTGGGATGACAGTGACACTGCCCTTGCTTGGTACTTCCAAGTCTGTGGAAACGTAGCAGGTTAACTGCAAACCCTTGTCTTGCTGTGAGATATGTTTTAATAGATTTTTAACCCTAAGCATTTTTGAGAAACAGAACTTCACATCATTGGATAACTGCAAGTAAATTTAGGAGCTCCAGGTATCAACTTATTTTATTTAACCAGTAAAACTTTTGTCAAACGAAATCAACAGTTTCTCTTTAGATTCCATACTGTGGATTATCCAGGGCAAGCACGTTCCCCTTTCCTTAAGAATAATAAGAGTTTTTAAAGGTCCCTACCAGAGCCATCTGTGCACCGTCAAGTACTGTAGCCGGCTGGGGGCCGTCTGGATGCCACAGACATCTAGGGTGTAGTGTCATCTGAAGTATACAGGGGCAGGGTTAGGGACAGAGACGGTGGCTCCCGCACAAGGCAGACAGCCTCCCGTGTTGTGGTCAAGGACCCGGAGGTGGGGGGCAGGGGCGGCGGCTGCTTTCTCCAAATGGAGCAGACTGTCCTCAACCGCAGCAAACGTGTGATTAGTATTTGCTCCGTCTTAGGACACAGAATTCAGAGCAAAACAAATGAAATACCACCACTGCTTCAGAAGGACATAGAGACCACAAAATGCTAGTGAAATTAAAAAAGGGAAAGGAATCCCAATTTTAGAAATAATTTCCTCTTGATGCTCTGATTTGCCTTTAAGAACACCAGTTAAATGGATTTTATAATACAGAGACGTGTTTATAATAGCGAAGAATTTTAGCTATAAAAAATAGTTTAAAACGGTTTACCAGCAACCTATCCAAGACAAGTACATTCATTAAAAAGGCAATTGAGTGTATTTGGTGCTAAGGATCTTTTTTATGTATTTGCTAGTTTTCTTCAGTAAAATGAGATACTGTCAGAAAGTTGCATATTCATTAATCCACACTGGCCCCAGAGTACCTTAAAGATGTACCCATCTAAAGTTCTGGGTGGTTTGAGAAACAGGGTGAAATAATGTTTTCTTGAGAGGAAGGGTTAAAAAGCCTCTTCTAACTCATCTGAACCCAAACATGCTGACAGGGGAGGGGAATTTTTAAAAGCCACTCCCAGCGAGCTGGCTCTCTGTGGCAGAAGCAGGTGGGTCTGGCCTGCCGGGCACCGTTTCAAAGGGGTGTCTTTCCGTCCACTGTCAGCACTACGTGGTGGACTGGTGCCTCCTCTCTGACCAATGCTGAGGGCTTCAGCTTTAAGTGCGAACGTGAACAGTTAGAGGGTTCAGGTGCAGATGGGTGCTGGCCGGAGCTGGGAGCTTAGCAGCACTGCGGAAACGTGGGTAGTGCCAGGACCCTCCCGTTTGGTGAGCACAATGACACAGGATCAGCCATCCTGAGGTTCAGATCAGTCTGTCGGGAAGGGGGCCTTTAAGTCTTGTAAACAATGTTTTTGACGCTTGTACAAAATACTGCAGTTACAGTGATTAAAAACCCACCCAAGACTGGTGTGTCAGTGTTCTTTTCACAGAAAAAGTGTCATCGCATGGAGATCCATCTGCCGGGATTTCCACCTAGGACCACGGGATCCGAGGGTTGGAGATGGACGGCCGGATGCTGCCCTTGGGAGCTGGCTTGGACCCAAACCACGACATCTGTGTTGGAAGCAGAGAGGGCTCCTGAGATGAGCCTCGGGACTAGGTGCAGAGGAAGCTGAAAGCGCCCTCCCCCGCCCCCTCCCCGCCCCTGCCGCGAGCACGCAGTGAAGATGCTGGCTGTGGGAACCAGTCTGCAGGGCCCCGGGCCCATTCTAAGTATGGGAGGGAAACAGGAGGAAACACTGAGTTGATGAGAAAAAGGCAGTAGAACTGTACGTAATTCTTCCTTAAAATATTTTTTTGTTCTATCGCTTCTGCAGTACTTTCTGAATATTTTATTTACTTGAGAGAGAAAGAGAAGGAGGGGGAGAGAGAAGGAGAGACAGGATCCCAAGCAGGCTCCATGCTGTCAGTGCAGAGCCTGATACGGGGCTCAAACTCACAAACTGTGAGGTCATGACCTGAGCCGAGATCTAGAGTCGGACACAACTGACTGTGTCACCCAGGCACCCATGAATATTTTATTAAAAAAAAAAAGGGGGGGTGTGCCTGGGTGGTCAGTGGATTGGATGTCGGACTTTGGCTCAGGTCACGATCTCATGGTTGTAGGTTCGAGCCCTGCATCGGGCTCTGGGGCTGACGGCTAGCTCAGAGCATGGAGCCTGTTTCGGATTCTGTGTCTCCCTCTTTCTCTGACCCTCCCCTGCTCATGCTGTCTCTTTCCCTCTCTCAGAAATAAATAAAACATTAAAAAAAAAAAATCTGGATGCTGGGCCAGACCTGGGGCTGTTGATGTTAGTGGTATCAGTGAAAGTGCTCTGGAAACACAAGGTCTGTTGGTGGGTACAGCGCAGACGCGTGTGCGCAAAGCACATCCTCCGTAAATACGGCCCGAGGGGAGTCCGCCATCCGATAGCACTTTCTAGGCGGCGACCGCCACTGTGCGTGGGCTCACCTACCAGTGCTGGGATTACTAACTAGTTTCTAAGAAGCAGACAGCAGGCCGGGGAACCTTACCTTATACTCCAGGGTTTCTTTGAGCATGTTCTCTTCCTCTTGTGAAAAGTTCAGCAACACTGACACAGCTTTTATCAGGTGAAAAGCCTGAAACAAAGTACGTTTTGCTGCCATGGGCCTTGGTGTGGTGGATGGTGGGGGGGATTGGGGTGTGTGCTCCCCACCGGTTAGCAAGACCACGTGGAGGGTGAAGCTGGGGTTTCTCAGGTCTGACGACAGGGACAGTTCTTTCTCTCCCCTCCATCTTTTCCCCTGGGAACTGGCGAGATCCCTGGGATACGCCCCCGGCAGCCACCCTGCCCCTGAGCAGGACGCGGGAGCGCGGGGCAGACTGTTCCCCGGACTCCAGCCTCAGTACCTAACCCACGTGGCCTCCCAGGGGCTGACTCCCTGCTTGGCCCCCACCTGCCAGCGGCACCGTCAGCAGGTCAATGCCAGCTGGAGGAATGACCTTAAGTGCCCACACTGGTGGTCAAATGGGAACATGGGAGAGGAAGATAGAAATGCGCTTGGTGGGAAGCCACACGAGGCTTGGACAAAGGAGCCAGATGCTCAGGACCCAAAAGGCAACTCAAAAACCTTTACCTCAGACTCTCGACAGGACATGAATTTTAAAACCACGTGTTTAAGGTACTCAAAGTTGATCTCGCGGGCGTCAGTCAGGTCAGCATTATTCGTGACGGAAGGAGCCATGTTGGGCATCTCGGGGCCGGGCTTCTCTCGGACCTCAAAGAGCTCACTGTCGGGTTTGATTTTCTGAAAAGCCAACGGAGAGATGCTGGCCCAAACCCCTCGAGGCAGTCTGAAAGCCACCTGGGAGAGTCGCCGGGCTTGAGCTGTGCGCTCCCAGTTCCACCACCGGCCCCTGCACGCGGTAGGGTGAAAGGGCCCCGCCTGGAACGAGGTGCCTGAAGTAGGCTCAGCCCCGGCCAAGCTGCAAGCGGGGTGGCCCCTGAGAGGGGGGAGGGGTCGTCTGGGGAGGTTCAGACGTTCCCCGTACCCGTACCCATGCTGGGACGTCTGTGGGGCCGCAAGCACCCCACACGGGGCAGAGGTGCCGCTCCCCTGTCTGGGCCTGGCACTCTGATGCTCGCGGACTTCTTAGCCCACAGACGGGCCCGGACTCACAGTTACTCCTGAGGTAGGTTCAAGCTGGCAGGGCCACCATCGCACCAGCCAACATGTGGCTTCCCAGAGACCTCTTGCAATCAATCAAACGGTGGGGAGGGGAGCACTGTCAGGCAGCGAGGCACCCCCGGGAAGGCCAGACAGCCAGGGAGGGCACAGGCAGGGGGAGAAGAGGGGCACTTACCAGTTCCTTCTGCAGAGTCTTTTTGAGTTCCAGCATCCTCTGCTGCATCTGCTTGATGGTCTGAGACAAACCCCGCCCCCCGCAAAAAGCCACTCGTTAGATGCACATTTCCCCATCTTTAAGGTGCAAAGGACAACAGAACAGCCAGCCACCTCCTTGGGGGCCCGTACACCTGTTGTAAGACCCTGCCCTGTCTCCTGAGCGGCTCAGCCGGTGCTTCATGCCCGGGGCCCTCTTCCCTCCTTCTTGCTGCTCTGCACGCACATGCTCTCCAGGTCCCACGAGGGCCACTGATGCCGTCACGTACGCTGTGTGGAGCGCTCGTGCCCCAGGGCAGGAGCCCAGCCTTCCCATGGACTCAGCCCTCAGGACTGCTTCGGGGGCCTGCCTGCCTCTGGAAACATCTCTGTACAACACACTTGTCCTTCAGAATGAGATTTTTGTCCTTCAGAATGAGATTTATGTGCTATGATCCCTCACCGCTGCTCTCCGGAAGTACCATCATCTTCAATGCTTATTTGGAACAGTGTGAACAGTCATGGTTTTTGTACTTCCCTATTTTATTTTTAGTGAGTTTAATTAGTATTGAGCTTTAAGTGTAATTTATTACACACTCCATTAATCACTAGAAAGGCTACCTCTGTTTCCCAATGAAAACGTTTACTGTATAATTAGCAGTACAGGAAAAAACATTAAACATTTCTCCAAAGTCTCACAAACTTAGTCTGTTCCACGGCCTTCAGGTCTGCGTCACTGATCTTACACTGAGTGGCTTAAATTCTGAACAGTGTTTGCCATTTACCACAGTTTTCATAGATTTCCACGGTTCTTTTTTTTTAAGTAGGCTCTATGCTCAACGTAGGGCCTGAACTCACGACCCTGAGATCAGGAGTCACGTGCACCACCCCCTGGGCCAGCGAGGTGCCCCCTTAATTTTGACTTCTAACGTGACAGTAACCCGAGGAGATGCCCCGTGTCTTGGGGCGGAGCTGAGCCTCCATTTCTGAACAAAGCGGAAACCGCAGCTTTGCTCTCCGCAGAGGTGTGCTCGGTCTCTCCGCAGGAAGGACTGCTGTGCCAGAGGCCCAGCTCTGGTCAAGGATATGAAATGGCCTCCCACACACCCCATTATATAAATGAGAATGTGTTGTTTCAATCTGTATTCTCTTAGCTGACCATGAGGCTGGACATTCACCCAAAAGTACATTTGCTATTTTATGATACCTGATTTTCTAGGATTCTGCCTCCTTGATTAACTCATCTAACAAATACTGATGGAGTCCAATACTGATACGGGCAGACGCTGTCCTAGAGGATGGGGAAAAGCAATAAGCAAAACAAGAAAAATGTCTGCTCATGGGCACCTGGGTGGCTCAGCTGGTTAAGCGTCGGCTCTTAATCTCTGCTTAGGTCATGATCTCACAGTTCTGAGATCGAGTCCCATGTCGGACTCTGCGCTGAGCATAGAGCTCACTCAGATTCTTTCTAGCCCTCTCTCTCTACCCCTCCCCTGTGTGCATGTTCTTTGTCTCTTGCCTTCTCTCAAAATAAATAAACATTAAGTTCAAATTTTTTTTAATGTTTACTTGTATTTGAGAAAGAGAGAGAGAACATGAGCAGGGGGAGTGGCAGAGAGAGATGGAGACAGAATCCAAGGGGGGCTCCAGGCTCCAAGCTGTTAGCACAGAGCCCGATGTGAGGCTCGAACTTATGAGTTGTGAAATCATGACGTGAGCTAAAGTCAGATGCTCAAGTGACTGAGCCACCCAGGCGCCCCAATAAATAAACATTAAAAAAAAAGAAAAGAAAAGAAAAAATATCTGCTCTCAGGAGCTTAAGATGCCGGTGACTGAAGATACATTACATAAGAAGGTATTAAGAGTGTGGTAAGGGGACAGGAAGTTCTGGTGGTGATGGTGAGGGCTGCCAAGCATAGCAGGGGAGGCCTCCTTGACAAAATAACACCATAAAGAAAGTAAGGGAATAGCAGGAAGAATCTTCCAGACAGAAAACTCAGCAAGTGCAAAGGTCCTGAGGCGGGAGGGTGCTGGACAGACACAGAAAGGCTAGGCCCCTGTGGCTAAGAGGGAGTGCTGGGGACGGTGGAGGGCATGCAGTACAAAGGGTACTAAGGGGCCAAACCACACAGGCTCTGTGGGCCACTGCAAGGATGTGGCTTTTATAGAGGCAGGGGAAGTCATCGGACGGCTGGAACGGGGGTGGGGGGGTGGGGAAACCACTAGAAGCCCAACACCAGCCTGTAGGGAAGAAACGGAGACCCCACCTAGGTAGCAGCAGTAGTGGGGATGAGAGGCAGCAGTTCGTTTGGGGGACCGTTTGAAGGGAGAGCCAGAAGGATTTGCTAACGGTTCAGATGTTGCGTGTGGAAGAAACAAGGGGGTTGAGAACGACACTAAGATTTCCAGCTTTTATGTTTACTGTGACAAGAGCAGCTGATACCAGGCAGCATGGTGAATCTGAAGTTGGGTTTTTGGTTTTTTTATTTTTTTATTTTTTAACGTTTTATTTATTTCTGAGAGAGAGAGAGAGAGACAGCGTGAGCAGGGGAGGGTCAGAGAGAGATGGAGACACAGAATCTGAAACATGCTCCAGGCTCTGAGCTGGCTGTCAGCACAGAGCCTGACGCGGGGCTTGAACATGGATCATGACCTGAGCTGAAGTCGGACGCTTAACTGACTGGGCCACCCAGGCGCCCCTGAAGTTGGGTTTTGGACAGTTTAAGTTTCAGATGCCTTTTAGACACTGCCACGCAGAGAGAGAGAGACCACCTAGAGGTCCCTGGAGTTATGTGGCCTTGAGATAAGGACGTGGGCGCCCAAGGCAGGCAGTACAGGCAAGACCCTGAGGGAGTGAGTGCCACTTAGAGCGGAGGTCTGAGGGCTGGGTCCGGGGCACACTGTGTTGGCGTGCTTTTCTGTATTTTCTATTTCACAGTAATATTAAATGTGTGTGTGCAAGTGAGAATGAGCACGTTTTCCTTCTGTAGAAGATCTAATAAAATACACACCCACAGTCACACTCTGGAGGCCAGAGCAGTGACCGGCCAGCACCCTTAACTTCCCAGGGCACCTGGAAACCAGCATCAAATGAGACCCTGTACTTGCAGGTGCGGACACCTGCTGGGTGGGTGGAATTGTGACATTCATTAAGCCTTTACCAAATACGAGAAAGTTCACAGGATAGCTAAGAAACTTGCATTTCATACCCCAACGCCCCTCCCCACCCCAGGAAAACCACTAGAAGACAGGCATCGCTGGGTCATTTCACAGCCATAGAAAGGAAGTGACAGGTAAGGTGACGGGTCCAGTATGACCCAGCTGGTGACAGCAGAGGTGCCTGTGAACATGTGGTCTCCCTACTGCCTGAGCACAAAGACTCTGGACATTACCTCAAGTGTGGGGAGGTGTGAAAGGAAGACTGAGCAGGTGGAAATGCAGGAGGAAGCCCTTCTGGTGAAGAGGTCAGATCTCCCTCAAGAGGGGCACGGGGGCATCAACGAAACTCTGAGAAGGGACTGAACAGCTTTAGGCCCAAGAACAGGGAGAAGGCAGGGAGACAAGGAGCTGAGGTAAAGAGCACCCTCACCTTGTTTTTCTCCACAAGTTGCTGCTCCAAGTCCTGTTTTTCCTTCTGCAGCTGCCCTAGGTCCACGGCCCCCACCTCACCATTTGGGATCCCCTCTGTAGCCGGAAGCTGGTATGCAGGGTCCTGTGTGGCCCTCGAGGTTACCTACAGGATGGACAAGGTAATGGTCAAGCTAAGCCACTGGTCCATGGGGGAAGGGGACCAGACCGGGTCCAAAGGTGCTGACTGATGTGCTGGAACAGGCAGCTGGCCAGGAACCAAACTTGGGCTGTGGAGATCCTGTCCAGTGCCTTCCAGGGGGACAGGCGGCTTCCCATGCAGCCAGTGTGCTCGGAAGGAACGGGCTCTCACATCTGAACACTGACACGCGGCGCCATGTCCGACGGCTCCTTACCACCCCCCGAGCTCGTAGTCAGGTAAGCACCCCTGCTTTAGAGAACGGGGGGGTGACTGCCCAGCACCCCCGAGCCAGTGAGCGCCAGCTCTTCTCCCTGTCTTCCCACCGCCTCCTACCGGCGAACTACAGCAGGCAGCCCTGTCCTGCTGCCGTCACACCAGGCCCGCGGCTCAGATGGGGACTTACGTGGGGCTCGGGGACTGAGTGTGCCAACCCCTGCTCCGGGCCAGGCAGTCTCAGCACGTTGAACCTCGCAGCGGCCTCAGACTCCTCCGCCCTCAGGCTCTGCAGGGCCTCCAGCTCGCTCTGCAGCTGGTGCATTTGCAACAGGGCAGAGTCGTGACCTAGACCGGGCAGAGGGGAGCACCAGTGAGTCCACGCCGCTTCGGGACCAGGCCGCTTCAGGGCAGCGGTACTGGGTGGGATCAGGTGAGGGGGCTCGACAGGGACAGACTCCTCACCTTTCTTCAGTTGGAAAATTTCCTGCTCTTTCTGGAGAATCACTTCAGCTTTTTCCTGCAGACTCTGCTCCTTCTCATCTACTGCAGCTGTGAGGTTAGCAGCCTGGGACAGAAAAGCCAATGTAAGAGAAGGCTGGCAGCAGAAACCGCATTTCCCCCAAAAGGAATCTTTACTTTTCCGCTGCCCACAATCCTCCAGGAATCCCTCCCTGAAGCCCACAGCCTCCACCGTCCTCTAAGCTAACCTCTGCTCCCATGGACGTGCACAGTTCTGGGGCCGGGCCTGCCACCAGCGGGCCTACCAGAGATGTGGCTTTCTGCATAGCCTTCCCCAAGCTGTCACAACCATGACTGCCGTGCCCCACGTGGGTGTGACATGCCTAGCATGTGATATACATGACCTTGTTATGATCTCCTGAAAGGTGTAATTACCCTAAAGTTTTTGCAGAGGCAACTGAGACTAGAATTTGTTAAGGACTCACTGAAGGCCTAGAGTCCATTCCCTACAAGGTTTGGGCCCAATGCGGAGTCTGTCCTGAAAGGAAGCTCTGCCCACCCTTCTGGCTGAGGGCTCAGCTGTACTTAGTCTCTGGCCTGTGGGCAGTGATGCCCCTCACAGAGTCAGAGCCTAGGAGGCACCTGGATATGGGCTTCCCTACCTGGTGAGGTTTATGACAGTAACTGACTATCAAACATCCAAAAAAGCCACTCTGCGGGGTGAGGATTTCTTTATAATGTTTTTCTCCCACCTCCCTAGAGCCCTCAGGGTAATCAATCACGCAGTTGCAGGGATTCCTGAGACCTGTATCCACCCCCTGGAGGCGGGCACACGGGGAGGCAGGCTGGTCCTGCCAGAGGCTGGAACACATGACCCTTTGGCCCACACCTCACTACCTGTTGCTGGAACTCTTCCCTCTGCTTTCGCACCTCCTCCAGGGCTTGAGCCATCGCGACGCTCACAATTTCTCTTTGGCTCCACTCTTCCTACAATCCAGAAAATGGGTGGTAGACTGAGCCCCAAAACTCCTCTCACAGGTGTTTCACTGCACACCATGTGCTGTCCACTGGGGGAATGCCATCCTATATCCTACAGATTTTCTTCCTGCTGCCCTCTCGCCGCAGTGCCGCCTGTACGCCTCTGGGAGCTGTCCTGGTGTACGACCCACCGACCTGTCCGCACAAGGGCAAACCGCAGAGGCTCGGTGATCCCATTGGCACACCTGCCAGTCCTTGGGCCACGGTTAGGGGACCTAGACCTCCAAGAGAAGAGCTGGTCTAATGAAATCAACACAGAACAAGGAGGAAAATTCTCCGGCCGTGTGAACGGACTAGTGGACTGAAACAACCCAATTACAGGGGAAAAATAATAAGCAATTACTGAATTAAATAGGGCAACACGCCACAGACTCATTAAAACTATCCATTTTATAAGAGAGAAAAAGGCCATTTTATACAAGAGGAAAAGGCTCTGGCCCCACAGCTAGTAAGTGGCATTGCCAGGTTTGACGCCAGCATCTGAGCTCACAGTCAAGCCTCTGGATGTTAGACTGAACCACCCAGAATTTTTGGGCGTGGGGCAGGGCTGCCTCCCCGGCCTGCCCCAGAGCACAGGAACTACCTCCTGACAAACACATCAGTCCTCTTCCCTGAGACAAGCGCCGTGCCCACCGATCAACCCCTGACGTCTCAGGTTGCCTGCTTTCCGGTCAGGGACATCTGTCGTTTGTGTCTACCTGGGATCACCCCATTTTGAGGGATAAGAGCCTCATTATTGCTATTCCCCACTTCCACCCTGCAGTTCCACACGGCTCTGGTAGGGCTGCCCATTTTGTGGCTACAAGGAGAAGCATGTGACTCAGGCCTGGCCAATCGCAGTACTGCAGCCCTCTGGCCAAACTGATTGGTTCAAGGGGTGGCTCTGTCACCTAAGATGGACCAGTCAGAATCCCTTTTTATATCAGAATCCTTTTTTACGTGGTGAAGCCAAGGAGAAGCCCCCTTTCCTAAGCTGGCATGTTATAGCTTGGAGCTGCTGCTGTGACATCCACCCAATTTGTAGGCTGCCGTCTGCACCATGGGGAAAAGCGAGGCCAAGAGTTTGGGTAACTGACAGGGCAAGAAACAGCATGATGCAGGAAGAAAAGAGACCTGAGGCCCCCCCCACCGCCAGGTTCCAGTCGGACAAGTCTTTCTGGTTCTGGGAGCTACGCAACTCCCCTACGACACCTCCCTTTCCATTTATGCCAGGACAAGTGGGCTGACGGAGGCGGGTGCAGCCGCCCGGGGACTCTGGCTCCCACGGTGGAGCTGTCACAACTGACCTTCCATTGAGTCCATCTCTACTACAGACGAGGAAACCTAGTGCCTGAATTCAAAAAGCAGAGCCTGCACTACGCCAGGCACCAGCCCTCCTCAGGGGAGGCAGTGTTGATACAGGAGCAGCAGCTACAGAACCGTTGCCCCGCGAGCCCGGGAGGCAGGTGGCAGAAGCCTTTTCCGGGAAGGTTTAGAAAAGAGCTCAGCCTGCTGGTGTCTCAGAGGACAGCCGGCCGACTGAGCGAAAGGCGGGAAAGCAGCGCAGGAACCAGAGACTCAAAGCACCTCCATGCCAGGAACTACATGTGATACTTTTTATCCATGGTCATGCTCGATCCTCGGGCCAGTCCTCTCGAGGTCAAGGGTTATTATCTTCAGTTAAAAAAAAAAGGGAAACTAGATTCCCTCAAGAGTCCATCAGCGAGGGGCTAGGCTGGCACACAGACCGGTACCTGTGTGGCTCTGAAGTCTGTGTAACTGCCATAGAGCCACACGCAATGCAGGACTGTGGGATTCGAGGGTGCTTGGCACAGCCGAGTTGGCTGCAGGAGCCACCAGGCTACCCACGTGCGGCAGCTCCCCGTACCCGGAGCGCACTCCCTGACAGAAGTCTAAATGGCGATGCGCCTAAAAACAGTGCTTCAAAACACCCGAAGCAAAGACCGACAACGAGCACCATGAAAGAGAGAAACTGAGACAAATCTGTGATCACAGCTGCAGATTCAGCACACTGCTCTTACTAACTGATGGAACGGGAAGACAAAAAAGAAACATAAGGAGGCATAGGTTTGGACATTACTGTCACCCAACTTGATCTAATTAGCATTTGTAGAATGCTTTCCCCTCACAGCAGCAGCGCACTGAAACGCTTCCCCAAACGACTGTGACAGGCTGGGCCACACAACAAGCCTGATAAAACATCAAAGGGCTGAAATCATTCAGTGTATGATCTGCTCATAATGGTATTAAACTAGAAATCCAAGGTACTGAGAACACTCCCCAAACGTTTGAAAATTAACCACACTTCTAAACAGCCTGTGCGCGCCGGTTTCCGTCGCGGCCTATCGGCCCCGCTGCCCCTCTCTGCTCTGCGATGATGCTCCGTCTGGTCTGGGCCTCTGCAAACTACATTTCTGCTCGTCCGGCTCGTTCCACAGGAACTCTGCCAGCAGGAGGAGCTCGAGGGAGACTGGAAGGCCGGAGAACACAGCCGAAGCCTCGCTCCCTCCTGTCAGCTTCCTGTTTCTGGGAGGTGAGGTGAGGCGTGAGGCAGTTTCTCCCCACAGCAGCATCTGCACCCACTCTGCAGGCCCCCCAACCCCGGCGATGACCTCACTCGCTGCCCAGTCCCCCAACACACCGGCGCCCGCTGAACGGCGTCCCCTGCTCAGAGGCCCAAGTGTCAGACCTGTGGGGCCCTTTGTCTTAATTCCCAAGTTTAATAATTCAACCTTCTTTGCTTTGTTCCCTTAGTTGTAGCTGTTCCTGTGGTCGCTCCCTTCCCGGTATCTTTTAACTGTTTGAGTGCTGGACTAGAAACTTTCCATGAGATCATAAATTCTCACTCAAATAAATGGTCTGGTTCTTTTATTCTGACCAGGCCATGATGGACACACTGTACGACAGCTCTTCCGGTTCTTTCTGTGTAACTTCATTCTTGCTACTGCCTTCTACTTTTTGTTCTATCTAGAATCTTCCTTCACCTGAATGATGCTCTCTAGCACTTCCTTTAGTGCAAAACTGTTGGTGACTAATTCCTTGTTTCTGTTTTATTGGTTTTTATAGTTCTACTACCATGCTGTGTCTGGGTACAGACTTTAAAATTTATCCTGGGGGCACCTGGCCGGCTCAGTTGGAAGAATATGTGACTCTTGATTCCTGGGGTCATGAATTCAAGCCCCACATTAGGAGCAGAGATTACTAAAAAAACATAAACTTAGGGATGCCTGGGTGGCTTAGTCGCTTGAGTATCCAATTTAGGCCCAGGTCATGATCTTGTGGTTTATGAGTTTGAGCCCCGCATTGGGCTGACAGCTCAGGGTCTGGAGCCAGCTTCTGTGTCTCCTTCTCTCTCTGCCCTTCCCCAGCTTGCACTCTGTCTCTCTCAAAAATAAATAAATAAGTAAATAAATAAAAAATAAACAAACAAAACAATAAACTTAAAGAAAAAGGAAAAATAACATTTGTCCCATTTGGATTTGTAAGAATTCCCATACCTGTACCTGTGAACTGACAGCTTTTAGCAATTTGGAAAATTCTCAGCTATGATTGCTTCAATAACTGCTTCACCCTCACTTTTGCATTCCCTTCTGGGCCCCCAATGACAGGTGACCAAACACCTTGCAGCATCCTATCTTTTTTCATGTCTCTTCTGTTTTTCATTCTGCCCTTTCTTCTGTCTCAGTAATTCTCTCTCAGCTAATCTGCTGTTAAACGTATTGTTCTTTAAAACAACTTCCCTGAAGTATAACTGACAATACGCTGCACATGTTTTAGGTGTGGGATGTGATACCATCACCACAGTAACAACTGTGAAAATACTCATTTCCCCCAAAAGTCTCCCCGTGCCCTGGGGGTGCCTGCTGCACTTGGAGTTTCAGCTCCATGCTTTCTAGCTCCCACACTCGAATTTGTTTCCCTTTTAAAACTGCTGCCATTTAGTAGTTTCCAAATCTCTGTTGAAATTTGCAATTTTGTCTTTTATGCCCTTAAACCTGGTAAGCAATGTAATATCTGAGTGTCTGAATAGGCCTTCCTGCTTCTGTACTAGCCTCCTTTCCAGAACATGCTCCACAAAGAACCAGAGTAATCATTTTAAAACAAAACGTCTCGGGGCGCCTGGGTGGCTTAGTCAGTTAAGCGTCCGACTTTCGCTTAGGTCATGATCTTGCGGTTCGTGGGTTCGAGCCCCGCGTCGGGCTCTGTGCTGACTGCCAGCTCAGAGCCTGGAGCCTGTTTCAGTCTGTGACTCTCTTTCTCTCTGACCCTACCCTGCTCACGCTGTCTCTCTCTCTCTCCTAGAAATAAATAAAAATATTAAAAAAAAAATAAAACAAAACGTCTCCCATCACTTCTTTGCTTAAAACTCCCCAAGTCTGCTTGCCTGCCTCCTCTCCTCTTCTCCCGGAGCCCAGAGCGGCAGCCACACTGGCCTTGGTGCTGTTCTCAGAACAAACTAAGCTTTTTTTCTGCCTTAGAGGTTTTTTTTTTTTTTTTATGTTTATTTTTGAGAGAGAGAAAGAGAGAAAACAAGTGGGGAGGGGGGCAGAGAGAGAGAGGGAAACATAATCTGAAGCAGGCTCCAGGCTCTGAGCTGTCAGCACAGAGCCTGATGCAGCGCTCGAACTCACAAACCATGAGATTGTGACCTGAGCCAAAGCAGGACACCCAAATGACTGAGCCACCCAGGTGCCCCTGCCTGAGAGCTTTTGTATTTGCTATTTCTTCTTCTGGAATATTTCTTTCTCAAACATTCACATTGCTGGCCCCTTCTCATGATTCAGAGCTTTGCTCAAATATCACAGAAGCCCTCCCTAACCTCCACCTTAGAGCCAGCCCTCTCCTCTGTCCTCTCTGTCCTTAACACTTGCTCTACTTTCTGCAGGGTATTTATGACTATTTATTAGTTGCTCATTATCTAGTTACAAGCTCCACTGGGAGGGGGAGGGGGTGGGGAAGGGGGACTTTTGCCTGTTTTGCTCACTGCCGCATCCCAGCACCTATACTGGTACCTACAGGTTCTCCGATGTTCGCTAGGAATACAAGAAAAAATATCTGACGCCAAAGTACACACTTCCCACGATATGGCTCTACTGCGTTAGCACCTAACTAGCAGAGACTAGTACTGAAAGTTTACTTAAGACTGTTTCGTCATCTCTACACGCAGTCTCGACAAACAGCTGGGGTCCTTACAAGCATTTAAGCCCTCGTTTTGCTAATCTCGCTGGAAAGATCAACAACACTGGTGGTTTGACAGCATGACTTTCAGTCGCTGCTGCCAATGACACAGAGGAAGGGCTGGTTGCATAAAGTCAGACCAGCACCACCTGGAACTGACTATGGAACTCAGACAAATTACTCATACACGGAGCCTCAATGACGCTAATTGCACAGTGAGCGCCATTCCTCCTCCCACTCTCGATCACTGACGGGACTTAATGAGGTGACGTTTCTAACAAATGTCCAAGGGAACTGCTGAACAAATGCCAGTTCGCGCCTTCTCCACTGTGAATACAGGACTTTCACTGGGCTGCTCCCAATACATGTGTAAAAGATGGGCCACTGCTGTGACACGTGGACCCCATTAGATAAATACCTTGAGCTTCTTTAGTTCAAGTTGGTGGTGGTGCAAAGTACGTTCACATTCATTCTTACTTTCTTTAAGGGCTGCATTTTCTTGCTCCAGTTCTCTCTGCAAATTGAGAAAAGTGTATGTAAAACGAAAAGGGCGTTTCCGTTTCTCCTGGACGCAGTCTACCAGACATGGAGCCTTTACAAGTGCAGCCCTCCCCTCCCCCCCTCCCCCGTGTCCCTGCAGGGGCAGGAGAGGAGGATGGGGTGGGAGGCAGAGAGAGAGCCAGCGGACGCCCTCCGCACGAGAACAAACATGGCACTTGACTCTGAAGATGAGGAACCAGAGAGAGGGAGAAACCATGAGGGAGGAACAAGAACACGGCAGAAAGACAGGGGAGGAGGCTGACGGGATTGGTCAGGAAACACCAGCAAGTCCCTGTGCAGCCCAAAAGGAAAGAAAACCCATCTGTTTGGGGTTTTATAAAAAGCAGCCTTTTTACATCCATTCTCACGAGTAGGTGTCTCGCTGGAAAGATAAGAACTGCTCTGAAAAGTGGTTCCCTAGTTGAGAGGGGGGCTGGTCGTCTTCCTGTCAACGCCTTGGTGGCCCAGCAACGTGTGACCCTGGTGCTCCCGAAGCTGGCCTCACTTCTTTCCTCACGTACCACCTCCCGCTCTGTGGCGGTCCGGTCGGCCGCCCGGGCGCTCTCCAGGGCGGCGAGCTGGGCCTCCAGGGCGAGGACCTGCTGCTGGGCCCGGCTGCTCTCCTCGTTTGCGGCGGCCTGCGGAGGACAGTTATTCATGGTGACAGTGAGGCCCTCACCCATTCTGTCCCTCGGTGACCTGAAGATGGGAGTCCAGTGGGAACAACTCTCCTTTCTGCTCTCTGGCCTGGGTGCTGTTGAGGTCCCCACCTGCAGCTCTGCCGATTACCCCTGACCTGTTCAGGAGCTAGAGTCTGGGACAGGTCTTGGCGCTGGGGGGACAGCTTAGGACACCTAAGACAAAGCCCTCCTTCACCCTACTTGGTGCTGCCCTCTATGGCTGAGGCTTTTCTTGGGGAGGCAGTATACAGGTCTTCAACTTAGGATGGGGTTACAACCCGACAATCCCATCGTAAGTTGAAAGTATTAAGTTAAAAAAAGCATCTTGGCTCAGTCTAGCCTACTTTATTTTTTAGATTTTATTTTTAAGTAATCTCCACACCTGACATAGGGCTAGAACTCACAACCCCAAGATCACAAATCACATGTTCTACAGACTGAGCCAGCTAGGCACCCCAGTTCTGAGCATTTAAAGTAGGCTAGGCTAGGGGCGCCTGGGTGGCTTAGTCGGTTAAGCGTCCGACTTTCGCTTAGGTCATGATCTCACGGTTCGTGGGTTCGAGCCCCGCGTCGGGCTCTGTGCTGACTGCCAGCTCAGAGCCTGGAGCCTGTTTCAGTCTGTGACTCCCTCTCTCTCTGACCCTCCCCTGCTCACGCTGTCTCTCTCTCTCCTAGAAATAAATAAAAATATTTAAAAAAAAAAAAAATAAAGTAGGCTAGGCTAGGGGCGCCTGGGTGGCCTCAGTTGGTTGAATGACTGATTTCAGGTCACGATCTCACGGTTTATGAGTTTGAGCCCCACACCAGGCTTTGCGCTGATAGCACGTAGCCTGCTTTGGATTCTCTGTCTTCTTCTCAATCTGCCCCTCCCCTGCTCACATGTATTCTCTCTGTCTCTCTAATAAATACACATAAAAAAATAATAAAGTAGCCTAGGCTACTTTAAAAAAAAAAAAAGGGCCACCTGGCTGGGTCAGTTGGTGGAACACATGACTCTTGATCTCGGGGATGTGAGTTCAAGCCCCACGCCGGATGTAGGGATAACTTAAAAACAAAATCTTTAAAAAAATAAAATTAAATGCTCAGTACACTTATGTTAGCCTACCGTTGGGCCGAATCTATTTTATATTAAAGTGTTGGACATCTCCTGTAATTTACTGAATACTGTGCTGAGAGTGACAAACAGAAAGTCTGCCTGGTAATGGAATCGCCTGTTTACCCTGTGATCACACGGCTGCCTGGGGGCTGTGGACCCCCGCTCCCCCAGTTTGGTATCGAGGGAGAATACTGTACTGCACATCATTAGCCCAGGAGAAGCTCAAACTTCACAATTTGAAGTATGGTTTCTGCTTAGTGTGTACTGATTTCTCATCTCATAAAGCTGAAAATCCTTAAGCTGAGCCATTATAAATCAGGGACAGTCTATATAATGCAATGATGATTAACAAGGGCTTTGACCTAAGAAAGATGTGGGTACTGCCATCTACCAGCGGGGAGACCATGATCATTGGGTTAGTGACCCAGTCTTTCTGAACCAGGTTCCTCTAGAGAATGAGAACAGTACATACCTCTTAGGTCTATAGCAAGGACTAAATACAACATGCGCAGAATACTTAGCGCAGTGACTGGCATGGCAAACATACAATAAATAATGCTTTTATTTCTCTAGTTTCTAACTCAACACCCCACCTGGGGCTGCAATGGTTGGCCAGGCCCTTGCCAAGCTCTCCTCAGTCCTGCCTGCAAGCGGAAGTCTGACTGTCAGCAGAGCTACTGCCTCTAACAGTCCCAGAACTAGGCTGGGCCCCACGGCCAGCCGTCAGATGTGAATTAGCCAGTCTCTCTCTCCCTGGGTAGCTCAGATCCTCCAGCACGTAGTGCGCCCAGACTCCCTCTACCGCAGCTGCCCACCTGCTCACACCCAGCTCAACAAGCGTTATCTGAGGTCAGGTCCCGGCACTGGGGTGGGTATGGGGCAGCTGCAAAGGCATAAAGGGCAGGCATCAAGGCCTAGAACACAGCAGCTACAACCACCACTTACGAGCTCCTGAATCTGAGCTTCCTGAGCCGCCACAAGGTCACCACTGTGCTTCAGCTTCTCCTCAGATGCCTGCAAGCTGTGCTCAAGCTCTTGCACCTGAGGGGGAAAGGAAGGTAAAGAGTGGTAACAAATGGCTTTAAAAATCAAATCTATTTAAATCATAAAGCAAGTACATTACAAAAAAATTTTAAATTAAAAAAAAGAAGACACCCCCAGGCCTACCATTATTGCCACTATTCTGACATTCTTTTTCTCCGTCTATTTTTGTGACTTTTCTTAAAAAAACAATTTGAGGAAAACTTTGTATCTTACCTCCTCACTCAAGTTTCCTTTTGTGTTTCAATGTAGCCTTGAGAACTTAGATTATTTCCTTAAGGGACGTTTCACAATCTACTGAACCACCACCTCCGGTGCTGGCACTCAGGCTATCTCCCTGCTTTCCCGTCCAACATAGTTAACACCTTCACTCAACAGGTTCTGACCTGGTTTGAGCCACTTCCTTAGGACAGATTCCTGGAAGTGGGATGACTGCTCACAGTACAAACTTTCACTCATTCCACAGACGTCAACCGAGTCTGCCTGTGTACCTGGCGCCACACTAGGGCGTGAGACTGGCCCCGTGGACAGGCCGACCCCTGTCCGCAGAGCCAGATGTGGCTCTCCAACAGGCCATTTTAATCTGATCTGAGCTGTCTCTGGCAATTTCCCTTATAAAGAACTCTTGTTCACTGAATGAGGTTTGACCTTGAGGAAGCTTATTATGAAAGCATAAACTCAAGGAAAGCTGCAGCTTTGTCAAGGAGAGGCAGGTACCCAATGAGAGGAGGGTATTTTCAGCTGTCAAGGCTCCTTATACACATTCACATCTAAGATTTAACTGAAACAACTCCCTGAGAACAGCTTATTTCCACAGTTGGAAATAGTGTTACTTATCCAGGATCACAAATTTTATTAGTGGCAGAGCCAGAATTGAAATCTAGCTTTTTAAACTCCTGAGTTCAGAAAGGATCTACCCAAGTCCCAATTTAGAGGCAGAGCTCCAGAAAGATTTAGATTCGCAAGAGGTTAAGCAGAGAGTTATCATATGACCTGGCAATTCCACTCCCATAAACCCAACAGAAATGAAAGTAAAAGCCCACACAAAAACCTTGTTCACAGCACTACACTAATGTTCATTATTCACAATAGCAGTAAGGTGGAAATAACCCAAATGTCCATTGACAAACGAATAAGCAAAACCTGGTACAGACATAGAAAGGAATGAAAGCCTTTTTAAAAAGGCTTTTTCAGCCTCAGGGCACCTGGCTGCCTCAGGCAGGAGAGCATGTGACTCTAGATCTTGGGGTCATGAGTTTAAGACTCCATGGCATGGGGTTTAGTTAAAATAAAAAAAAAAATTTAAAAAGGCCTATTCAGCTTTAAAAAGGAATGAAATTCGAGCACATGCTACAACTTGAATGAACCTTGAGGACATATGTTACATGAAATCAGCCAGACACAAAAGGACAACTATTGTATGATTCCACTACTATGAGGTTTCTATAGTAGTCAAATTTATAGGGATAGAAAGTAGAATGGTGGCTGCCAGGGGCTGGGGGTGGCAGAGAATGGGCGGTTAGCGTTCAATGCAGACCAGATTTCAGTTTGAGACGATGAAAAAGTTCTGGACACGGATGGTGATGGTGGGTACACAGTAGCGTGAATGTGCTTAATGCCACTGAATTGTACGCTAGAAACTATGTTGAAATGGTAAATTTTATGTCATGTATATTTTATTTCAATAAAAAACAGAAATAAATTCTAATAAAACAAAGCTGTGCCAAGAAAAATAGACGTTTAAATATTTTTATCAGGAAATAAGATTTTAAAAATGAGCTAAGCATTTGTGATGTTCTAAATGTTTGTGTCCCCTCAAATTTCATGTTGAAAATCTAATGTCTGATGTGAGAGTGACAGGAGATGATGCCTTTGGGAGGTAAGGAGTTATAGCCCTCATGATGGGATTAATGCCCTTAAGAAAGAGGATCCACAGAGATCCCTTGCCCTTCTACCACTTCGCACACCATTAAACTGGCAAAATAGATAAATAAAAGGCTGGAAAAGGCAGCAAAGCAGATGATACGGGACCTCTCAAGCCTGCTGGGGGAGCAGAGCCAAGCACAGACATCGTAGGAACGTTCTCGTTCTACCTAGTCACATTAGGTCATATGTGTTCTCTACCCTCAGGGCGACAGGGACAGAGCTGTTCACTGCCGTGTAATTTGTGATGATAGGAAGGCGGCGGCAACCCGGATGTCCAGCGCCTGGCAGACGACTACACTACAGGGTAGTGAGCGCAATCAAGTGGACACAGCCAGAAGATGGAGTGGGTGAAAGTAAGAGTGGACGCGCAACTACATCACTCACATAAATTAACACACATGCACACAAAACAAGGCCACTGATTTTAGGGAACTCAACAACAAAAGGATCTCTATTAACCACATTAGAATGGTTTCCTGTGGGAGGGAAGGGAACGAAGATAAAAGGGAAAGAATAAACAAGGGAACAATGGCGGCAATGTGGCAAGAATGAAGAATATGACTAACTCAGCCATGTGTAAGTGAGATCCAAAACAGTCCCTTTAAAAGAAAACCTCTGGGCGCTTGGCTGGCTCAGTCACTTGAACGTCCGACTTCGGCTCAGGTCATGATCTTGTGGTTCGTGGGTTCGAGTCCCAAATCGGGCTCTGTGCTGACAGCTCAGAGCCTGGAGCTTGCTTCAGATTCTGTACCTCTCTTTCTCTGTCCCTCCCTGCTCGCACTCTGCCTCTCTCTCTCAAAAATAAACATTACAGAAAAACCCAAAAAACCCCCGAAAAACAAAAAACAAAATAACATAAAACCTCTGACCCTGGGAGATTTTCCCACAACCATGTAGTCCAACCAGGTTACCACCCAGACATAAGAATCACTAGGAGTGAGGTTAGTACCCGAGTCTCCAGGATGTCCATGGCCTTGGCCTGGCTGCTTCTGGCTGCTAAGAGCTGCTGTCTGGTATCTTCCAAATTCTGCTCAGCAACTATTTTCTATAAGTTGAAGGAAGAGTATAAGAAAATAGTCATTTTCCCATTGAATAAATACTTCTGATATTTACAACATACTCTGATTTGTGCGAGACACAAAGGACACGAATGCACTGACAAAAATAATGGCTGATTGAGAAAAATTTTACATAACATAAAGTATACGCAGAGAGGTGCCTGGGTGGCTCAATCGGTTAAGCATCCAACTTCAGCCCAGGTCATGATCTCACCATTCCCGAATTCAAGCCCTGTGTTGGGGTCTGTGCTGACAGCTCAGAGCCTGGAGCCTGTGTCAGATTCTGTGTCTCCCTCTCTCTCTCTTCCCCTTCCCCGCTCACAGTGACTCTCTTTCTCGAAATATAAACATTTAAAAAAATTAATTAAAAAAAAGTATGCACATAAAGTTGACACAGTCTTTAGTCCTTGAGGCTGGGGCAAAAGACTAACAAAAAGATTATAGAATAGAATGCAGTAAGTGCCCACAGAGGAGCCCAGAGAAGGATACTGGCCACCTCAGGAAAGTGGGTGGCTTCCTAATTCACAGGTGGCCAGGGGTTGGAGGGAGCACCCAGGCAGAGGGAAGGTGAGTGGAGTCGTGAAATAGCTGGGGACACTCAGGGAGCTACAACTTGCAAAAAGCTAAAGCAACAGTGGATTCAGGTCAAGAAACAAAAGTAGAAAGTCAGGCAAAGGGCCAAATCATGGGAAGCTTTTCATGCTGCAGAAAGGAGTTTGAATTTAATTCTGGAGGCAATGTATTTTATTTTTTTAAAAGTGTATTTATTTATTTTAAGAGAGAATGAGCTATAGAAGGGCAGAGAGGGGGACAGAGGATCCGAACTGGGCTCTGTGCTGACAGCAGAGAGCCCAATGCGGGGTTCAAACTCACAAACCGTGAAATCATGACCTGAGCTAAAGGCAGATGCTTAACCGACTGAGCCACCCAGGCACCCACCCCTGTAGGCAATATATTTGAAAGTGTGGTTGTCCAAACACTGACACTAACTTGATGGGGGTAGGGAGGAGGTAGCTGTTAAACTTGGAGGCTTGCACCAGGCCTACTGAAAACAGGCTATCTGTGGGCAGGAATATATACTTTAAACTGCCAAGTAACTCCTAGGCACACTAAGCTTTATAATGATGATGACAGCACAATAATAATGATTATAACATTACCAGCTGAAATACACTGAGACCTACTATGTTCTAGAGCTTCAGTCTGAGCACTTCACATACTGTAACTCCTTGAATCCTAACAACAATTCTATGTGTTTGGTACAATTATCAGCCCTATTTCAGGGAGGAGAAAACAAACACAAAGAGATTAAGTTAATTGCTCTAAGTCAAAAACTAGTTAGAAGAGGCAAGATACAAACCTAGGCAGTCTGATTCTAGAAATCAACTTACACCCCAGAACCCAGGTATACACACTGTAGACTGTAGGGGAGCTGGGGAAGATGGTGAAGGGAATGAGGTGGTCAGGAATACCAGTTAGGCAGGGAGCGTGGAAGACCGTCAGGGGTGAAGGACAGACTTATTTTGGGTGGGGCAGGCTGGAGACTTCTGATATGAACTCAGCTAGAGCTACTAGAAGCCCTGAATGATGACGGTGGCAGTGGAGATGTTTAGATGAAACTAAGTGCAGAGAGACAGCGAAGGTCTAATCTAGGCCCACGGTCTTGGCTGTGCCACCTCTGTCACGGTGAGACCAGCCACTGGGATATAAAGAGGAGGGGTAGGATATGGGTGGGCAGTGGGCTCAGGCCTGATGAGAAAGTGAGTTCACCTACACCGCTGGGCAAAAGGCCACTATGCTCAACAGCCTCCCTCAGCGAAGGAGAGTACCCTCCCTGCTTAAGGCCATTCTTGCTCACGCCACAGGCAGATGCTAACAATTTTCCTTGGCCACCAGAAGATGCAAAAGGGGGGAAGCGAGAAGGGTGGTGAGATGAGACAGCCCAAGTAGCATATATCACCAGGTGGGGTTTATTGTGATTGGGATGCTATTCATTCACAAGCATCTCTGAATGAAGCTCTCCCTTTTCTGGGGAAAACATGGTACACACAGGTGATGGAGGCGGTTTCTGCTGGAAGCAGGACAGTCAAAAGTTGGAGGGAGTGCTCTCCCTACCCAGCTGCTTGTGGAGTCTGGCTCTGCAGCTCTGTGACTGCATGAAATGTCTGGTGTTACCACTCCCTTCCCAGCAGTGGCTGCCCACGGAAAGCCAGCTACCTCTTTCAGGAGCTCCTGCACGTGCTCTTCTCCTGAGAAGTTCTGCTCCAGTCTCTTCTCTAAGGATGAGACCTTCTCCTGCAAGTGTGTGATGAGTTTTTCTTTCTCCTGAGTCTCAGCAGCGGCCTGCAAGTGAAAGCAGAGACTACATTACTCTATAACCCCCTCTCCCACTTCCTGTCCCTTCTTGGATCATCTCGTTTCCCTGAAATTCTGTTCTCAACTGCCTCTCAGAAGTACAGAGCCAAGACATCTTCCTTGAAAAGGGACACGGGAGATGCAAGACCAGAACCCACGACCACCCAGGCACTTTTCAGACTGAGCGTCGCAAGAGGCAATCAATTGGTCATTCAACTTAAGCAACTGATAATGCGGGAAGGAATGAGGCTCCTTGCTCAGTGGAATCCAGCCAGGACACTGAGAAGATGCTCCTTCACTTTAAGACAATCAGATTATACTGTCACAACCTACAACCTCTCACCAAACACGTTTAATCCTATTAATCTAGAGTCCAATAGGGCCTACACCTTTAAGTAACATGCCAAACTTGGCAGAGCTAAGCCCACTCAAGGTCCCCACAAGCTCTACAAACGACCAACAGAACACTGTTCCTGGACACATGGTGCTGGATGAAGCAGTAATAATGCCAAGAGAGCTGCCTTAATGAAGGCCTAGGACAGAACTTCTAAATCATATGATGACATTCACCCTGGCTTCCAGCACAGGGACCAGGGCAGAGCCACTGTGCAGCTCACACCCTGGCCCCAAACCAACAGCAGTCCCCTTTCCAGTCTCTTTAGCAATGATGGTAGTGGTGGTGGCAGCAGGTTGGGACTTGGTTCAAGAAGAGGATCCAGGAAACATTGAATACACAAGTTCTTAGATCCCTAGGGTCCTTGAATTCACTGAGGATGCTCATTCTCCTCTCTTTAAAAAAAGTTCATATGGCATCAACATATCACTATGAAGACTTGTACATCCTTGCAGATACTCTGTTTCCTCAAATTTCCCTACTTTATGCTTCTGTTGCTCCATTTCAAGCTACAGACTTTCATGTTCAGCTTGGAACCCAGTCAGTATCTCCAGAATAATATGTAGCAACTTGGGCTTAGGGTTTTAGGAAGAAGCACTTGTCATTCTAAATTCTCACAGGGATGACAGCAAAGGTAGTAGAGGGGATGTCTGAAGAACAGATTCAAGGTTCCATAATTCAATAAACTTTTATCAAGTCTATACTGTGTGCTGCCTTCTTAGGATACAACTAGTCACAGTTTCTGACTCACAGAAGCAAGGTGGCTGGTGGTAAAGACACATATACACACTTACATGTATTCAATTATAAAACAATGCAATCATGCTGCAACAGAGGGACATAGAAGGTACTATGAGGTATCAGAGGCAGGAGAGATTAACTGAGGATATCAGATCAGGTACATCCAGATCAGGGAGAAGGAGGTGGAGGGGACCAAGCATTATGGGTAAAGAACAGCACATGCAAAGAGGTGCCAGACAAGTTCAGCCTGACCAGGAAGCCGGGAGAAGAGTTAAGATGACTCCCATGTCTGTGACTCAGATCTCTGGCTGAATGGTAACATGATACAAAACAGAGAACACAGAGGGAGAGATAGGAAAGAAAAAACAATTTGGCCATGATGACCACTCATGATGGGTCTCTTAGTAACAATGCAATAATCATAATGTACACCAAAGTACAGCCGTGGCAACTATAGTTTGCAAAGCATGAGTAAGCACTTCCCATTATCCCTAGTCCTTAACACCAGTCTCCACTGTGTCCATTTATAAGGAAACCGAAGCTCAGGAACTAGCCCAAAGCACACACCTTACTGTTAAATTAAAGATTCAAACTCTGGTCTTTTGGAGCAAATGCCTGTACTCATTCTACTACACATCAATATGAACTTGAATGACACAAGTGACTCTTTACAGTGAAAACCAAAGACCAAACAAGTTTTGGTGTTAGGTAAAATTAGGGACAGAAAAAGAATCAGTTACCAAATTCTGTTTAGTCTTCTTGTGCACCATATCCTACAGGGAAGTCCCCCCCCCACTCTAGCTGCTTTATTTCAGGCCTCCAACACCTTATATGATACAGCTGACATTATACTTAATGATGAGAAAGTCAAAGCTTTTCTACTAAGATCAGGTATAAGGCAAGGATGTCCCCTCTCATCAATCCTTTCCAACATCATATTAGAAGTCCTTGCTAATATAATGTCAAGAAAAGGAAATACAAGTACATAGACTGGTAAGGAAAACAAAACTGTCTTTGTTAATAGATAACATGATCATAGATGTAGAAAATCCAAATAAACTAGCAAAAAAACCCTCTCAGAAATAACAACTGATTATAGAATGGTTGCAGGATACAAGGTTGTTATACAAAAGTCAACTGCTTTTCTGTGTACAACAATAAACAAGTGGAATCTGAAATTTAAAACATACTACTATTTATATTAGCACCCTGAAATGAAATACTCAGGCCTAATAAAATATGTGCAAGACCTATATGAGAAAAACTACAAAACTCTGATGAACAAAATAAAAAAAAAAAACCAAAAATGAAATAAATTGAATGATAGTCCATGTTCACGGATAAGAAGACTCAATATTGTTAAGATATCCGTTCTTCCCAACTTGATCTATAGATTCAATGCAATACCAATCAAAATCCCAACAAGATATTTTATGATTATCGACAAAATGATTTTAAAGTTTATATGGAGATGCAAAAGACCCACAATAGCTAACACAATACTAAAGGAGAAGAACAACGTTGGAAGACTAATGCTACCCACTTCAAGACTTATTATGAAATATGAAACTACAGTAATCAAGACAGGATGATATTGGTAAAAGAACAGACAAATAGATCAGTGGAAAGGAATAGAAAGCCCAGAAATAGACCTCCATAAATACATTCGACTGATCTTTGACAAAGAAGCAAAGGCAATAGAATAAAGCAAAGAGAGCCTCTTCAACAAATGTTGCTGGAACAAACAGAACATCCATATGAAAAAAAATGAATCTAGACATAGAGACCTTACATCCTTCATAAAAATTAACTTAAATGTATCACAGATATAAACGTAAAACTTAAAACTATAAAACTCACAGATGATAACATAAAAAGAAAACCTAGGTGACCATGGGGATAGCAATCATTTGTTAAATATATCACCAAGGGTGTGATGCATGAAAGAAATAACTGATAAGCATATTTCATCAACATTAGGAATATCTACTCTGCTAAAGACCATGTCAAGAGAATAAGAAGTCAAGCCACAGACTAGAGAAAATATTTACAAAAGACACATATGATAAAGAAATGCTATCCAAAATATAAAAGAAACTCTTATAATTCAACAATAAGAAAACAAATAACTTTACATAGTAAGGCAAAGAAATAAAAGGTATAAGAATTGGAAACAAACAAAACCATCATTATTCCCAGATGATGAGTGCTATTTAAGAAACTCAAGGAAACTCTGTACTTATTAAGCTTAGTAAGAGTTCACTGTGCAAAACAATCAATATACAAAAATAATATTTATATATGCCAGCAGCAAATAGAAAAATTAAAAATATTTTTTAAGTTTATTTGAGAGAGAGAGAGAGAGAGAATGAACAAGGGAGGAGCAGAGAGGGAGGCAGAGAATCCCAAGCAGTCTCCATGCTGTCAGCACAGAGTCTGATGTGGGGCTTGAACTCATGAGCTGAGATCATGACCTGAGCTGAAACCAAAAGTCAGATACTTAACCAACTGAGCCATCGACACACCCCTATAAAAAGTAATTTTTTAAATGATACAATTTACAATTGGTATAAAAAATATGACGTACCTAGGAATAAATTTGACAGTAAATAACAAACTTTTATGAAGAAAAATCACAGAAAACTTTATAGAGAGTCATTAAAAAAAGGGCAACATTGAATACCTGAAAAGATAGACCATGTTCTTGGATAAAGAAAACTCACATCATAAAGTAATCATTGCTCTCCAAATGGATCTACAGATTCAATGCAATCCCATCAATATCCCAATAGAATTTTCTGAGGAGTTTGACAAGCTGTTCTGTGGAAGAGCAATGGGCCAAGAATGTTCAAGATACTTGTAAGAATTAAGTGAGGAGATTTGTATTATCAGTCACCAGGACTTGTCCTAATAGCACAGCTAGTAAGGCGATGTATAGTGCTGTACAAAGACCACAGTGGCATACATCCCAAAGCCCAACAGTTCCATGTACATAAGGAAACCCTAACTCAGACAAAGCTGACACAGCAGATCAGTGAGAAAAAAACAGATTTTTCTTTTATTATTTTTTTGAATGTTTATTTATTTTTGAGAGAGAGAGAGAGAGAGAAAGAGAGAGAGAAGTGCAAGCCAGGGAGAGACAAGCCAGAGAGAGAGAGGGAGACACAGAATCCAAAGCAGGCTCCAAGCTCTGAGACATCAGCATAGAGCCCAATGCGGGGCTGGAACTCAAGAACTGTATGATCATGACCCGAGCCGAAGTCAGACACTTAACTGACTGAGCCACCCAGGTGCCCCATAGAACAGATTTCTCAATAGATGGTACCAAACAATTTTTTTAAAAAAGATAGAGATCCCTTTCTCAAACCAAAATCACAGTTTAGGCTTATTAAAGCTTTGACTATAAAAAGCAAAACTATAAAACATCCTATAAATTAATACAGGAAAATAGCATTAATAATATAGGAAAATAGCATTATTTTTAAGAAGCAAAAGCAGGAGCTCCTGGCTGGCTCAGCCAGTAGAGCATGTGACTCTTGATCTGGGGGTTGAGTTTGAGCCTGATGCTGGGTGCAGAGATTACTTAAAAAATAAATAAATAAAATGAAAATCCCACTGAAGGGGGAACCACTTTTTAAAAATAAGTAAAAATTAAAAAAGCAAAAGTATAATCCTTTTTTCCAACTTTTTAAAGAAGTTTTATTTTTGAGAGATAGAGAGGTACAGCATGAATGAGGGAGAGTCAGAGAAAGAGGGAGACACAGAAACCCAAGCAGGCTCCAGGCTCTGAGCTGTCAGCACAGAGCCCGACGCCGGGCCCAAACTCACAAATCATGAAATCATGACCTGAGCC